ACAAAACATGATAAAAAGTTAAAGGATTTATTTAATCACATCCTTAATAGAAATTGGGAAACAAGTATGACATATCTAAGTGTTATATTTCTATAAAATTTAAAGACAGGTATGATTTGATACGTGCAGTTCACATTCTGCACACGTGTGGCTTGTGTTGGGCAGAGACTCATCAAATAATAACAGCAACTAAAGGAAATTAAACCACACACAACAGGAAATGACATCAATTTGTTGGAATAAACAGAGTTTAACAACAAACAAGTTAAGTAGCCCCTGTCCTTTTTGTCATCAAAATTAAGTTGTTTTTGAAACATGTAGTATTATTTTTTTCTTTGTGTTTTGTGAAGTATTTTTTTATTATATTGTTTTGTTTTAAAGTCAAGGTTTCAAATTTTAGGAAAAATACAAATATATTTAAACATAGTAAAATAAGTTTTTGTGGCTTATTTGGCATATTGTATTACATTTAATAAACTTTACAAGGAATCTTTAAAAACAGCGAGGTCAAAATGTTAACTGATGATATCAACAGTAACCAGAATAAAAATGGACAAAAAAGTGATGATCAAGGTAATGTTCATTTGATAGTGAAAACCAAAATTAAATCTGAGTTGTTTCATTTCTATTTTAAAATAGAATGTCTAAAAAGATGAAAGCCTACAATCCAACAAGTGCCTCATCAAATTATTTACCTGTTTATCAGGGCTCAAGTTTTAATTTGAGCCTGGAGTGAGATTTCGAGCAGCTGGCCACTGTTGCCAACTCTTTTGTAGGCCTTTATTGGTTGTTCTAAAATCCAATAAAAGTCACTAAATGATGTCATCGCCTAATTTATTTGAATATTTGCCAGTAATTGTAGGACAGATGTAAGTTTGAAGAGAAAAAGTAAGTAAAAGCACTCTAACATGTTAAGAACTACTAATAAACTTAATGTAACAATTACTTGACTTTAATGCTTAGATTCACATTATAGGTATACATTAATTTTGTGAGAATATTAAATTTAACCAGCAGACTGTAATTCTGCGTTCACACTGAATGCAATTTCAGCGTCAGGAGCATCAGATTTACATGCAAAGTCTATGGTGGATGCGCTCTAAACGCACATTTGAATTTTATTGATAAGGTGTAGTTTAGAGTGGTTAGTCTGCATTTTAGCCAGGTTTAGTGTGTTTTGAATCAAAACAACAAAGCAATTTTTTGTTATGAGGAGCAGTAGAGAGGTCCGCAGAGGGCAGAATGACACAACACATCTCTTATTCCTCCCTTCTCGCTTTTGCTGTCAGAAAAAATAATATATTTTCTCTCTGGATGTTTTGATGTGAAAAGTGTGGTCCTTTACAGCAACTTTTCACATTTTTTTCCTATTTTCCCCCCATATCATTATGTCAGCCTCAACATGGTCACGTGACAAATACTGTTCAACTTCAAGAATGATAGTTATAATTTTGCCTTTCCTGAGAAAAGTCTACATCATGATCACTGTCTAATAATTTTTCACCCGTGCTTTTCTTTGTACTGTGGCAAAAAATGTTTATTTTAAATATGTAGAAAAAAGCCAGCACAATGTCTGCACAGAAATGAAAGAGGATTGGGTTTGTCTATAGCAGTGGTTCCCAACCTGAACCCCCCCCCCCTCCCCCCAGGGGGGCACTAGAGATCACAGTGGGGGCACATAATGTTCTAGCTCAGAGGTCAGGTGTCGGCAAAACCATTGTTTAGGTTCGGACAACCAGATCCTGCCTCCTGGTTGTAAAGTTCTCCTTCGTGACGGGTGACCTGTCATTTGTAAAAATGAAAGAAGAAAAAGAACCTTCTGAATTTTAAATGGACAGTTCTTTCAACCCATAGAGAGAACCACAGTCAAAGTTTTACCCAATCAGATTGGTGTAGGGCGGGTCGTGCTGTCTAACTGACAACGGGTGCGTGTGCAGCCTTGAGTCAAAGACTGCCGTCGCGTCACAGCATTCAAACATATTGTCAAGAGTTTGCAACCACACTGCTCAAAAAAATAAAGGGAACACAAACAACACAATATAACTCCAATTATATCAAACTTCTGTGAAATCAAACGGTCCACTTAGGAAGCAACACTGATTGACAATCAATTTCACATGCTGTTGTCTAAATGGAAAAGACAACAGGTGGAAATTATTGGCAATTACCAAGACACACTCAATAAAGGAGTGTGTACACAAGTACTTCTCAGTACTTGTGCTTTCTGGCTGATGTTTTGGTCACTTTTGAATGTTGGTGGTGCTTTCACACTCGTGGTAGCGTGAGACGGACTCTACATCCTACACAAGTGGCTCAGGTAGTGCAGCTCATCCAGGATGGCACATCAATGTGAGCTGTGGCAAGAAGGTTTGCTGTGTCTCTCAGCGTAGTGTCCAGAGGCTGGAGGTGCTGACTGGCCAGTACACCAGGAGACGTGGAGGAGTCCGTAGGCAGGCAACAATCCAGCAGCAGGACCGCTACCTCCTCCTTTGTGCAAGAAGGAACAGGAGGAGCACTGCCAGGGCCCTGCAAAATGACATCCAGCAGGCCACAAATGTGCATGTGTCTGCACAAACGGTTAGAAACCGTCTCCACGAGGACGGTATGAGGGCTCGATGCCCACAGATGGGGGTTGTGCTCGCAGCCCAACATCACAACACCAGGATTGGCAAATTTGCCACTGGCACCTTGTGCTCTTCACAGATGAAAGCAGGTTCACTCTGAGCACGTGACAGATGTGACAGAGTCTGGAGATGCCATGGAGAGCAATCTGCTGCCTGCAACATTCTTCAGCATGACTTCTTTGGCAGTGGGTCAGTGATGGTGTGGGGTGGCATTTCTTTGGAGCGTCGCACAGCCCTCCATGTGCTCTCCAGAGGTAGCATGACTGTCATTAGGTACCGAGATGAGATCCTCAGACACCTTGTGGGACCTTATGCTGGTGCGGTTGGCTCTGGGTTCCTCCTAATGCAGGACAATGCTAGAAATCATGTAGCTCGAGTGTCAGCAGTTCCTGCAAGATGAAGGCATTGAAGCTGTGGACTGGCCCGCCCCTTCCCCAGACCTGAATCTGATTGAGCACGTCTGGGACATCATGTCTCACTCCATCCACCAATGTCACGTCGCAACACAGACTATTCAGGAGTTGGAGGATGCTTTAGTCCAGGTCTGGGAGGAGATCTCTCAGGAGACCATCCACCACCTCATCAGGAGCATGCCCAGGCATTGTAGGAAGGTTATCCAGGCACGTGGAGGCCATCCACAATACTGAGCCTCATTTTGACTTGTTTGAAGGACATTACATCAAAGTTGGATCAGCCTGTAGTGTGTTTTTCCACTTTTGTATGTGACTCCAAATCTAGGCCTCCATTAGTTAATTCATTTGATTATCATTGACGATTTTTGTGTGATTCTGTTGTCAGCATTCAACTTTGTACAGAACAAAGTATGCAATGCTAATATTTTACAAACATATACACTCACCGGCCACTTTATTAGGTACACCTGTCCAACTGCTCGTTAACACTTAATTTCTAATCACCCAATCACATGGC